CAGCTTTTTTCTTTTTGCTTATGTGGTGCTGAGGAATTGAACCCAGGGCCTCAGGCATGCAAGGCAAGCGCTCTACCACTGAGCCACCTTCCCAGCCCTATCCGAGCTTCTTTTGCTCAAAGCTAGCACTCTACCACTTAAGCCCCGTACCACTTCCAGCTTTTTCTGTTCATATGATACTGAGGAATCAGAACCCAGGGTTTCATGCATGGTAAGCAAGCACTCTACTACTGAGCCACATTCCCAGGCCCAAATAAATCATATACAATCATGATGCTTAACTACCCTACTGTGATGTAGAAAATAAGAATTACATCCTCCTGTCCATGTTTTGGTATCACTTTCTGACCTGTTTTTGTAATTTCTCCCATGTCCTTTCCTAGCAACCACTATTATACTCCATTTTCCATAAAATTGGATTTTTATTTTTGGTCAGAGACAGGGACTGGGACTGATGCTTCTGCTCACTGGCTAGTGCTCTAACAACTGAGCCCAATCAATGGGAAGAGTAGAAGAGAACAAGAATCCTGAAGGATAATGTTCAAAAGATGTTTTATACATGTGTATACTCAAGACTACACACCACACACAAATATAGAACAATTAACCTACCAAACACTGTTTGAAAAAGGGGAGAGAAGAAAGAAAGAAGATCCCAAGACTGACTTTTTTAGGCACCATTTAAAATCAAATTCAAAAGCAAAATTTCTTAGTTCATTTAATAATTAGCCCTGATAGTCTGCACCAGATACCAATTATTTTTGTCTTTTATTCTTTTGCTTTTGAGTTAACATACATTTGTAATAAGGGGATTATACTGCAGTATTTCAATACACACACAATATAGTTTGAACAAATTCATTTCCTCTACTCTATTTTCTTTCCTTCTCTCTCTCCCCCTTTTCAAACAGTGTTTAGTGGGTTTAATTGTTCTATATTTATGTGTGGTGTATAGTATGGGTATACATATAAAACATCCTCTGAACCTCTTTACCCTTCAGTATTCCCTTTCTCTTCAACTTCTCCCATTGATTCACTCCTAAACAGTCCCCTCCTATCCTTTTTTTTTTTTTTTTTTTTGTCTGTTGTGGGGCTTGGAATCAGGGCCCGTGCGCTGTCCCTGAGCTCTTTTGCTCAAGACTAGCACTCTACTATTCTGAGCCACAGAGGCACTTTTTTTTTTCTTTCCTGTTTTTCTGGTGGTTAACTGGAAATAAGAGTCTGATTGACCTTTCTGCCCAGGCTGGCTTTGAACTGTGATCCTTGGATCTCAGCCTCCTGAGAAGCTAGGATTACAGATCTGAGTCATCAGCATCTGGATTATTCTTACATTCTTAAGACAAACTCATTTCAATATTTCCCAGTCAGAACTTGATTTTTAAAATAATTCACAAACCTGATCTAAGTCACTGAAGTTTATCCGCTGTTTAAGTTTCTCTAATTCTGCCTGCTCTGGGACAGACATCTGAGTCATATATCTACTGTGTGGAAAGGTATGTGGAGTCTTGGTTCTTCGTCTTCCAACTCCTGGTGATGACTCCGGAGAAATATCATTAGTTACCCTTTTATCACTTTCTACACCAAACTTTTTCTTATTCTTTTCTGATGATCTATTTGCCTTCTTCTGTTGGCCACTCCAATCCTTTGAGAAAGTAAAAGCAAAAGTTAATCTGGCCTCTATCAAATCAGGAAAATAATTTTGGTATGCTTAAAAAACTTTGACCAGTCTTAAAATTGAAATTACATTTTTTGACATAAACATTCTTTTCTCAAGACATTTATTTCCACCAACTTATTTTCCTTTCATGTCCATCTTAATTTTATTTTATCCTTCAAAAAGCAGATTAGGTCATTAGCAAACATAAATCCCAAAATTCCAACCAAGAATAAATTTAAACAAGCCAGGCGCCGGTGGCTCACGCCTGTAATCCTAGCTACTTAGAAGGCTGAGATCTGAGGATCTTGGTTCAAAGCCAGCCTGGGCAAAAGTCCGTGAAACTCTTATCTCCAATAAATCACCAGAAAACCGGAAGTGGAGCTGTAGTTCAAGTGGTAGCGCTCGCCTTGAGCTGAAGAGCTGAGGGACAATGCCCAGGCCCAGAGTTCAAGCCCCATGACCGACCAAAAAAAAAAAAAGAATAAATTTAAACATTTTGAAAAGCTTTTTGTTTATTGTTTTTGAGACAGGATCTTGCTCTGATCTTCAGATAAGGCATTGAGTTTCTGTCTAAGTTGGCTTTAGACTAAGTTCTAACATATTCACACTGAAAGACTTTTAGTTATTGCTACAATAAAAATCATTATGGTTAGGGCTGGGATGTAGCTCAGTGGCAAAGCGCTTGCCTAACAAGCGCAACACGTCCTGGGTTCGATCCCCAGTACCAAAAAAAAAAAATCATTATGGTTATCTTCTCTATTTATGATAAAACCTGCCTTTTTATGAACTGTCACTCGACCCCAATCCACATTCCTACTAATTTTAATACTACTTACCCCACCTTTTGTAGGCCATAGATGACTGAAAAATAATGTATAATCTAAATTGTGACAATCCTATTTAAATTTTCAACCTGGAACTAAAAGGCAAGTCAGTAGATAATTTTCACTATTACTAAATTTTTTAGAATTTAGAATACATTCTAAATCTGTATTCTAAATTTAGAATACATCCAGAGTATATCACATAACTAGAGGAAAAATAGTCTGTGAAGACAAAAGCTAAAGCAACACAAAAGTGAAATAGAATCACAGTAGTGAAAAAGAAATCCTGACAACTTTCTTGTTCCTTCTTTTGTAACAGACTCCATAAAAGACCTTACATTCTTTTTCACTTAAGCAAACTCAAGTTGACAGTTATCTGTGTCATCAATTAATAAGTACTCCAGAGGTTTTAATATACTTCCAGTAGTATTTACAATGTCTCAGTGACTTAAACTTGATTGAAGGAAAGTTGAATTTTAACAATGATTAAATGTTATTGATCAGTAACATACCATCTACAATAAGATAGCATACCATATTATTAAGTCGATCGTCAACACACTCACTGCTCCAGTTGGGTAAATCCTGATCATTCATACTTTCTTCAAAAGGACCTCCTCCTGTGGCCATACTGACTTTCCCAAATAACTTTCTGAAAAACAAGTAAAAACTTAACTTTTTTTCCTGATTTAAAAATGATTTATTTATTTACTTACTTATTTAGACACTGAGGATTAAAGGCAAGGAGGCAAGCATTCTCTGTTGTGCTCTGTTCACAGAACCCAAACCTAAGTTTTTTAACACATAAAAAGAAACTTTAGTTTTTATATGATTTCATGAGACTTGGCAATATAAAAAATACAAAACCCTAATTTTAACAAATTTAAAAAGTTGGGCTGGGAAGGTGGCTCAGTAGTAGAGTGCTTGCCTTGCATGCTTGAGGCCCTGGGTTTGATTCCTCAGCACCACATAAACAGAAAAAGCCGGAAGTGGCGCTGTGGCTCTAGTGGTAGAGCGCTAGCCTTGAGCTGAAGAGCTGAGAGACAGTACCCAGCCCAGAGTTCAGGCCCCACGACCGGACCCAATAAATAAATAAATAAATATGGTTAAAAATCTTTAACAGGGGCTGGGAAGGTGGCTCAGTGTTAAGAGTGCTTGCCTCGCATGTATGAGGCCTGTATTCAATTCCTCAGCACCACATAAACAGAAAAAGCTGGAAGTGGCACTTTGGCACTATGGCTCAAGTGGTACAGCACTATTTTTGAGCTGAAGAACTGAGGGACGGAGCCCAGGCCCAGATTTCAAGCCTCATGATGGGGAGAAAGAGAGAGAGAAAGAGAGAAAGAGAAAGAGAGAGAGAGAGAGAGAGTGTGTGTTACAGATAAATAAGATTGACAAACCTTTAGCCTAATTAACCAAAAGGGAAAAGACCCAAATTAAGAAAATTAGTGATAAAAAAATCACAGCAAATACCACTGAAATACAACAGATCATGGGAGAATACTTTGAAGATCTATATTTTAGCCTTGTATAACTGAGGTCTTTTGTTTGATCCCAATACTACCCGATCCCTGAGGTTACAGTTACTTTAGTCAGGTGGAGTACATTTCTTTTTGGACAATACCACCCTATTTTTCTTATTTTATAATTTTCCAGAAAAACAAACAAAATTCACTAGGATTGGAAATAAAATATAATCAACTACCAATTTGTATTTTCTATTATAGTTTCATTTTAGTCTTCATAAAAGTTTATAAATCTGTTAGGTTTTTTTTGGAGGGGTGGAGTGGGGGTGACTAATACTAGTTTTTAAACTCAGGGCCTTAAACTCTTAGCTTTTTTACCCCAGTCATGGCTGGCATTCTATCACTTAGGCCACTAAGTGATTTTGCTAGTTAACTGGACACTGTCTCCCAGACTTTTCTGCACAGGCTGGCTTTGAAATTCAAGCCTCAGATTCCAGCCTCCTGTGTAGGAAGGATTACAGGCTTGAGCCACTACCATTTTTTTGTTTATTTTCTTTTTCTCTTTTGCTGGGACTGGGACTTGTATTCGGACCTTAAGCTCTCACCTGACTTTATTTCTGAATCATCTTTTCAATGACACTTGGTGCTCTGCTACTTGAGCCATGCCACCAGTCCTTGTGTTTTTTTTAATAGAAAACAAGAATATACTAAGTTTTTTGTTTTTTGGTGGGTCGTGGGGCCTGAACTCTGGGCCTGCAAACTGTCCCTCAGCTCTTCAGCTCAAAGCTAGCGCTCCACCATTTGAGCCACACACTTCAGCTCCTTTTTTTATTTTTGTCAGTCGTGGGGCCTCAACTCTGGGCCTGGGTGCTGTCCCTCAGCTCTTTAGCTCAAGGCTAGCGCTCTACCACTTGAGCCACAGCGCCACTTCCGGTTTTTTCTGCTTATGTGGTGCTGAGGAATCGAACCCAGGGCCTCATGCATTCAAGGCAAGTACTCTATCACTGAGCCACCTTCCCAGTCCCTATTAAATTTTGAAAATAGGCTTTTTTCCTCTCTCCTTCCTTCCCTTTTTCCTTCCTCCCTCACTTTTTCTCCCTTCCCATTTGCTGTTTTTGTTGAGATAGGATCTTGCCATGTAGCCAGACTGGCCTATAACTTGCTTGGTAGCCCTATCTTCCCAAGTGCCAGAACTACAGGCATATATATGCCAGAATTTTTTCTTTAAAAAAATAACAAAAATTTCTAAAACATTTTTAAACAAAACTTCTAATTCCCATCCTTTAGTCATTTATTTGCTAAATTACCTTTAGGAATTAAATTACTTTCTCTCAGTGTGCTAACATTCTCCAGTACTGACTTAATCCTTGGCAATGCACAAGACTTGATGTTTACAGCAATTTTAGATAACTAAAAGTATGTCAGTTGAAGGCAAAACTTAAAAATCAAGAAAGTTTATAAACAAAAGGTAAAGTTAGCTAATAGAAATATGGAAGATGACTTGAGATGAAATGGATTTGGAAAAAAAGGTATGTGAACAGTTATCACAGGACAAATTCAAACTCAAATGGGCTGAAGAAACTCTAAAGACAAAAAAATTTCAAAAGATATTACAAATTCTAGTAATTACTACCAATAGCATGGCTCTTTCCATGAAAGACAAATGGCATGATGGAAAGTAGAGCAGCAGAGTGAAGGCCACAGCACACTCAGAAACTTTACTAAGTGGGCACTCCATCATGCTCTTATTTTTGGATAGTGCTGTCCACCATAAACTATTACAGTTCAAGTATAATGCAAAGGAAACTAATATATAACCACATCAAATTACCTCTTCAGAAGCTAGTTTTTGCAGCTCAGAAACAGCACCTTTCCTGTCCACGCTTCAAAGCTGTTGTCTGCTCATTAAGAAAACACAACAATAAAAACAAAACGTGGGTAGACTTTTACACTGTTAAGTATAGAACGACAAACACCACACTTGTGGTTTAAAATGTTAGCATACCAACAAAAGAGAAAAATAAAATTTATCAACACTTTACATTCCATTTACCTTAATCATTTTGGAAAACAATGTGATATATACATACATAAATCTCCAAAACCTTCTAAGATCCCCCCAAACACTAAAGTGACCATTTAACATCTACTATCATTATCATTTAAAGATTGTGGGCAAGTTTACTCTCGAACTTTACCAAGTCTTTTAACTTGCTGCCACGAAAACGATTCAACAACTCCATTGTTTAAAGTGTCTATGTGAACCACTAATTACCTCTTAATAAAATAATCTTCACACGCTGACAAAGTGTACCTTTGGTTTAAAAATCTTGTATTTTCACGGCACCCACCAGCTCTCACCAGGAAGATGGGGAAAGAAAAGGAGCAGGTGCAAGCGACGCTCTGGCTCTGCCAACACCCACTCGGGTAACCAGAGAAGACCAGAAGGCGGAGTCGGGTCAGCGGTTAAGGGGCGGAGGGGGTGGGGGCGCCCAGAAAGCCCGCTTCTTTCAGCGCCAAAACATGATCCGCTACCGGGTTATTTTACAAGCACAAGGTCTTCAAAGCAGACAGGATCTCTATGGATCTGTTCACACACACACACACACACAAGCACACACACACATATGCACTTATGTGTATACACGTATATGTACACACATGGATTCACACGGACATGCGTGTATATGCATGCGTACACATGTAACACGTGTGTATGGGAATAAGACAGAGATCCACAAGTGTGGGCCTGGGGATGCAAAGTTCGCTCTACTGAACGCCCCGGCAGGGCCGAATTCCCAAGCCCATCTCCTGCAAGATCCCCGGCACCAGTGCCGGCCGAATGGGCGGCGAATCCCAGTCGGCTCCGGGTGGCTCCCGTGGCACACATCAAGCTGGACGTGCAGTGCGGCACGGAGCGCGGGTGGCGGGAGGGGCGCGGGGAGAGCATGGACCACAGCCACGCGCCCCCCGGAGCGCCCACCCCCGGCCCGGCCGCCCCAACGCCACCACAGACGGCGGCGAAGGCCCCGCGGGGCGCGCGGCGCGGCGCGCTCCCCGGCCGCCCTCCCCACCCAGGACTCCGGCTTCGCCGGGTGGAATGCGGCGGGTGGGGTGGACGAGCGCGGTCACGGGGCCTGCGGCCGCCTGGGCCTAGATCCTGAAGAACTCGACCGGGGGGAGTCCCACACCACGGCCGGAGGGCTCGGCTTCCTCCCCCCGCCCCGGAGAGGGGCAATGGCGTGGCGTCCTCCCCCCGTCCGCCCGCCCCCCACAGGCCAAGGGGCCACGGGGGGCTTCCGCCGTCGCCGACTTGCCCCGGATGCTCCCCCCGGAGATGGCGTCGGTCGGCCCCGACTGCCCAGGGAGCCCGAAGCTGGCAGCAAGAAGACCCCGGCGCCTGCGGAGGGGGCGTGGGCCCGAGCCAGGCCCGGCCGGAATCGCGCGTCCCCGGCTCCTCGTTCGCCCGCCCACCCGCCCAGGACGCGCTGCCCTCGGTTGCCAAGGGCCGGCGACGCGCAGGCTCTACCTGTAAACGAGGCAGCTCCTCCGGCCGGGACCGGAGCTGGGGTGGACAGGCGCCCCAGAATCCGCCACCGGCGGCAGTTCTTCCTCAGAGAGCGCGGCAGGGAGGCCCACAACTTCCCTGCGGACGGCTTGGAGCCCAATGGCCGCCTTCCCTACCTTGGCTGCTGGGCGCCAACCGCCGCAGCCAGCGCCATCTTAGGATCTCATCGTGGTGGGAGAAGAGGGGAGGGGGAACCGCAGAGGGGGCCACGAGCGGCGGGACGTGCGCCGTCTCCTTGGCAACGGTCTGCGCGCGGAGGAGAACCCGTCCCGGCGGTCGGAGCCGCAGTGCGCGCTAGACCGGAGTCACGTGATCCAAAGGCGTCTTGGAGAGCTGATGTACTTCGTCTACCAACCAGAGACTGTATCCCAGAATGCCCGCTCCACTCGGGTTAATCAACTCTTCCCTCCCCCACCCTCCCGACACACACACACACACCCCCTGCCCAGAAGGCTGGGAACTACAAATCCCAGCGTGCTGTGCGCTCCCTGGCCGTTCGAGGCCTGAGCGGAAGTAGATTGATGCTCTGGGGCCTGGGGGCGTCCACTCCGGAAGGTGCCGGAGGGAGGGGGGAAGACTCGAATAGCTCTTCTGGTCCCTACCCGCTGACGTTCCCGTCACTCTTGGAAGGAAACGAAAGGGCCTGTACAATCTAGTTCTGACTTTAACACATGAGAAAAACCCACGGGAGCTGAACGATTTGCCACACATAGGCAGCTAGTAAGAACGTATAAGTATTGCTAATAATTAGTGCCACCGTGGGTTGATTGATGTCCCACTTTTTCCTTACAAGTAACACATGATTTTAATCAGAACTTAATCCAGGAAATCTCGTCCTCACAACTTGTAGTCTCTGAATTCCCTTCTTACAATCTTCTAAAGATTGGTAAATCGTTGCTTTTTAAACATTGCTTTTATAAACAACGAAGTATTTGAGAGACAAAGCCAAACACCTGTCGGTTTCACTTGTGTGCAATTGCACACCAGTTTTGGCCGTTTAAAATTGTGGGATAAGATTTTTTTTTAATTCAAAATAAGGCTAAGAAGGAATGAAGAATGGACTTCTGTGTTCCAATAACATCAAATAGCTCCTCTCAATCACCAGCAGAATTTAAAAGTAGTAGAACTGCACCTCAGAACACAGTTTGGATAAATCTCTTGCAGCCTGCTGCAATTTGCTACTGCATTCAGGTTCGGTGTAATAATGCTCATTGACAGTGTACATTTATTGTACTTTAAAAGGTACTCAATGTCTCATATTGATAAGTACAAAGCTAAGAAAAACATACCCTCTGTCCTCATATTTTATTGAAATAGAGTGCGATGTAAATTCTGTATGGTAAGAAAAAGTGCTGGTCCAACATGGGTGGTTAACACCTGTAATCCTAGTTACTTGGGAGGCTAGGATCTGAGGATCATGATTCAAAGCCAGCCAGTGGAAGGAAGGTCTATGAACTCTTATCTATAATTAGCTGACTAACATCTAGATATGGAGCTATGTCTCAAGAGGGTAGAGGGCCACCCCCCCCTACATGCACACTGTGCTGTAAGAGTTCATGACACAGAGCCACTAAGCAGTTACTTGTTCATTGTAGTCTAGAATGTTCTACTGTAGGGAAAGTGGTTATTTTAAGACCTTGATGGCAGTGGTGTTTAGTTACAGGTTAGAAAGAATAAAAGGAGCAACAAGGAGAACAGGTAATAACTGGTATAGTTATGGTAGTACCATAATGAATAAGACAAGGTACTTGGATTTTGATTAACATAAACTAAATTAGTTTTCATGACATGTAAAGTATTATATTTATCAGGATACTTTTCAGGTGATACAAGAGTATTTTGTATTAGATTGTTTAACTTTTAACTATATTTTGTAAGTTCTTTGTCTATATATGGATTGTGCGCATGGCTATTAGTAGAAACGCTATCTTTTTGTACTACTTTAAATTCTCAACATCTTTCAGAGTTCATTAATCTTGATACTAATTAATTTGAACTTTATAAAATGCAATGCCTACTTTAAACCTGCAGATGGTGATAGAACTTAAGGGGAAAAAAATCTGCCCGGCACTAACATATTGTTTCTTTATTACACTGATACTTGATAGAAATGAATGTAGGGCATGATACTTAGTATGTATAACCCTGCTTTCACTGTAAAAAAAAAAAGAATAATTCACTTAGTAATAAGAAATAGACACTACATCCTTTTATTTGCTACAAGAACAAATTGGCAGTGAATATTCAGATCTGAAAAGGGTGGTAGCACTTTCCACTACAGAATAACCTCCTTCCCAAGACAATTATCCTTACTATTCTCACAAGATACCTATTATATAGGAAATTTACTCTATCTTTTCTGGCCAGACCATAATTAGCTAGTTGTCCTACTTAGCTAATTGTAAGTTCAGTGAACATTTTTTTTTGTGATGGATCCATAAAATCTGGTCATAGTTTTTGGGAAATGTTTAATGTGCACGATCTGTCATAACTTAGCTATGATTTCTGCTCAATATCTTAAAGCTGGGTGCATGTAGTTACACTGTGATTCCTTTTAGGGCTGAGCTGGGTGCTAATTATGAGATATTATCCTGGGAATAACCAACCTTTGGATGAAGAGCAGGCAATGCGCATGTGGTAAAACCCTGGTAGGACTACTAGAATTACAATAATCAGGGCACCAGTCTATCCCCTTCTCCTTTGTTGGTATAGCCAGAGAGTAGGATGGAGCCTATGACAGAGAGAAAGGCATGGTAGCAAGTGCAATGACCTTATAAGGAAGTTTAGTGAGATAGGGTAGATCAAGTAAAACAAGTCATTGGAAACAGCAGCCAGGAATTCTGAGATAGCACTGTAAATAGGTTGATGAATAGCACATAACAATACTTTTTTTGCTTTAAGCTTTATACTCAATAAGCTAGAATATCTAGCAAAAAGGAAAAAATATTTAGTTAAAAGGAAAAAAGATCTGGGCTGGGATGTAGCTCAGTGAGTGGTAAAGCGCTTGCCTAGCAAGTGCAACGTCCTGGGTTCGATCCCCAGTACCAAAAAAGAAAAAGACAAAAAAAAAAAAGGAAAAAAGATCTTTCCTGAATAATTACTGTGCTCTGGGAGCTGAAGGGGGGGAGGGAGCAGGGGGAGCAGGGGGGGCCACCGGGAAGGGAAGGGAAGTATTGCCACAAGTTGGGAAAATGATCCTTTGAAAAGGATGCTTAACTATATCATAATGACCCAAATTTAATGAATGGATCAATCTCCAGGTCCAATAGATAAAACACTGTAATAGCAAGAATGATAAAAAAAAAAATATGAAAGGATTGCAGAACCAAGAGGAGTACTTGTAATGGAGTGAATCTGAACCAAATCCCAATCCATTTCTTTTGCCATAAATACCAGTGATGTTAGAACATTCATTGCACCTTTAATCACCTATGTCTCTGTTGAGTCCTATTATTCCTTTGCTTTGCTTCACTAATAAATTTTCTTGGTCTGGTCTCTACCTCCATGTGTCCTGAAATTATTTTTAAATATAATGTTATTGTTATTATTAAGGTATTGTACAGGGGAGTTACTTTTTCATAAGTCAAGTAATGAATATATTTCCTAAAATTCCTTTGGGGGAGCTCAGATTCCAAGGGCCAGATGGAATCTTCTTCCATTTGGAAAACCTCTTCCTTAGAACTTCACTGGTTCCAGTAACATTAGGATGATAGTTCTTAACACTGAAGGTCTTTGGGGCTGGGAATGTGGTTTAGTGGTAGAGGGCTTTCCTAGCATGCATGAAGGCCTAGGTTCAGTTCCTCAGTACCACATAAACAGAAAAAGACGTAAGTGGTGTTGTGGCTCAAGTGGTAGAGTGCTAGCCTTGAGCAAAAGAAGCTCAGGGACAGTGCCCAGCCCCTGAGTTCAAGCCCCAGGACTGGCAAAAATAAACAACAAATGCAAAAACAAATTCCTGAAGGTCTATTGTCTGTGCTGAAGACCCTTGAGTATTTTACTTTTGTAGAGAGCTGCGTGTAGCCGCACCTGGAAGATGGCGCCGGCTTCCGCCCTCCCCCTTCCCGATGGCGAGTGCTCTCTGTGGTAAACAACTCCTTATATGGCTAAGGCAAAGAATCTAGCTTGCTTCCGCGCACCTGAACCTATTGGTGGTTCCTACGTGGCATATCAGGGTTGGCTACCCAGCGGGTACTTAAGGCTTTGGGGAATTGTCCCCGGGTTGGGGTCAGAAGATTGCTCAAAGGTCCTGAATAAACTGCAGAGTGAAGAGTTCGGTGTTGCGTCTTCCTTGCTGGTCGAGGCGGTAGCGACATACTTTCCTATGGGGTTTGCCAGGAGCCAGACTGATACAAGAAGGTGTCCTAACAGTTTCCAGATGTTACAGAAATAAAAATCAATGACAAACATAAAACAAAACTGGTTTCTGGAAAGTGGCCAACAGTGCCCAGGAAGCAAATAAATACATTGCACCAGAGGACCAGAGCTTACTTTCATGGGCCTACAGGCTTCTGGAGAGGAGGGTGTACAAACTGAAAGGAAAACAAATATATTTGTTGCTCCAAACTTTTTTCAGTTCTTTGCAAAAAAAAAAAAAAAGGTGAAACATTAAAAAAAAAAGTGGTTTATTTTTAGGGAACCTATAATGATTTGATTAGATTATCAGAGGAAAAACAAATCCAGAAAAAAAAAAGTAATAAGTAGGCACTTAATTTTAACTGGTGTGCTGGAAGCATACAGGTTTTAAGAAAGGTGAAACTAATATTTTCCAGGATCTGTCAAATGCCTAGGGATATTACATGTTTCCTGTAGCAGGCCGGTAGGGAGAGCAGTCTAGCTTTGAACAAAAGGCAGACGAAAGGCTCTAGAAGATCTCCAGAAGAAAGCATTTCACTGAGTAAAACCCTTTTCTTTAGCGTTCCTCCTTGGGAGCCTCATTGTAACAATGTCAGCCAAAGACTCAGAACCTCTAGGATATATGAGATCTGATTTCAGGCATTTGTGGGAACTGAGTAAGCAGTTGCTGAAAAGCTGTCGTCTGCACAAATGATGCTGGAACTTAAACCATGCAGTGCAGGTGCATCAGAGTGGATAGATGCAAGGGAAAGAGAACCTGGGTCCCGTGAGGATGGACTAAAACTTGTAGCTTCTAACTTAGTGATGTGAGTGTTCCATCATGTGCTCAAGCAAAGACC